TTTAATTTTAGTTCTTTAAAATACTTAAAATAATAATTAAATTTTTTTTATTTGTGATTTTTTTCACAGCCATAAGTGCTAAATTTGTACGCATTGTGTACAATATGAATTTGTATTATTTATTTATTTTACTTTATTTATTTTTTTTGTTCTGTTTTCTATTTAATTTTTTGTGAATTCCAGAACTCCTTAACAACATCCTATGTGTGATTATGAATAAGTATTCCAATGTGGAAAAGTATTTTATTTTAGCTCTATAAAATATTTAAAATGTTATTTTTAACATTATTTTTTTTATTCACATTTTATTTTATTACATTTTTGATCACTAAATAATTCCAAATGTGTTATTTCATAGTTTTGATCATTTACTATTATTTTAAATAGCATCATCAACAACAACAACAACAAAAGTAATAATAAAGAAAGAGTACATCCATCCAAACATTTAACTGGTTGTGTATGCCTGTATAAATCTTTACAAAACATAATATACCACCTCATTAAATAACCTTAAAGACCACAGTGTTTTCTGATTGACACCACGGCTGATCTTACACTGATCCTCGATTCCAGCACAGTACGCTAAACAGGGTTTAATGAACAGGCTTGTGAAGGCATCACACTTAAATCAGTGGAGTGTTGTGCTGGGATTTTGTGTTCCTCCTGCTGCATTGATGGAGCAGCTGCGGCTCGAGTTCCCATAGTTCCATTAATCCCCCCCGCAGCACTTGAGGAGCACAGACGAGGGCAGACCAGGGAGGGACACAAACACACGGGATGCAGAGAGGAGTGGCTGGGCTTTATTGTCCCGGTGCAGTTTATCATTTGTATATTCCTCTGCGAGATATTAATGCACGTTAACCAAAGAAACGCATAGCAGCTTTTTCAGCAGGCATTTCATAGCAGCATGCATTTTGCAAGCATTTCACAGATGGGTACATCACTAACAGGGCAATCTGCCTTCCATAAGACAATGACAATACAAACACCCTTAAAATATATGACCAAGCCCTTTATTTAAAATAAATAAATAAATACAATTGTATTATATTATTTTATGTATTGTATTTATAAAATATTATTTGTAATTAATATTGTATGTAGACAGTACATAGCTTTTTTAACATTAAATTGTTGCATTACTTTTTAAATTATTTTGTCATTTTTTTAGCCAGGCCCCTTATTTAAGTAAGAATGAATGAATGAGTGAAACTACTGAAGTCATCCTGTTTTTCCATACAGTATTATTTTATACATTTTATTTGTTTATTTATTTTAGCCAAGACCTTTAGTTAAACATATCACTCTCTACACTAAAATACAATGCTGTTTTTCATTAGTCATAGTTTATTTATTTTTTTGCTATTTACATTTTTTTTATTATTATTATTATTATTATTATTACTACTACTACTACTACTTTGTAATACAAAAAAAAACTTTAATAAGGTACTGAAAGTAATCATGTTTTTTTTTCCATATTACGGAATTACTCAACATGATAATGTACTATTAACTTTATGATGACAATTTTTGTTAGGCTACATTACAGTAATGAGTATTTGGGGAGAAAATGTGCTTAATTATAATGAAAATAATAAAAACAATGCATCCATCTTAATGGTCTTAAATGTTTAATTTATATCTTTATCATTTATAAGTTTCAGAATCAAGATTCACACTCACCCACACCTGAAAAAGAATGAAGAAATTGAGTGAAACTCAGATTAGTAGAGCCAAATTCAGCAATATTTGATGAAGTTCTGAAATTGAACACAAATACACTGGGAAAAAAATGGTGCAGAACTTATTTCCACTCAGAAATTACTAGTCAAATCAATAATTACAAAGAAACGACAGAATTAAACATGACATTTTGAAGTAGAAAAACGGAAATGTTCCTGTAAAACATACTCCAATAATCTTTGTTTTAATCTTCAAAAAGTAGTGTAGCCTACTAAACACATGAATGCAAATCTATAATGCAGCAACATAGCAGAAGGCAAGTCCGACCGAAAAGATCAACAAACTGCATGTTGGGCCAAAACCAGCCAAACGGTGAAAGTGAGGAGAAATGAGTACGTGTAGGACGTTTGCTCGAATGTTCGGTGGGACAGAAGGTGTTTGAAGTTGGCCTTAGTTAGACTCCTCTGCAGACTCTCTTGTCTCGGCCTTCCACTAACCCTTTCATGACAGCAGGAGAAGCGAGACAGCTGGCGTTTCTTTACCTCCACCAGCAGCAAAGGAAAACCGCTGCACAAAAGAGAGCTCATGAATGGCCTCTCACTGGGGAAGCCTTGCTAAACTTCTTTATTGGGCCTTCCATTTAAGCACGCCACTTTTTGTTTGTTTCTCATAGCAGCAGAGGCAGGCTTTTGGGAGGTATAATCGAGAGGAGAAGAGCACATGACCTTACACACTACATCTGACAGCAAAAGAGAGAAAAATGCAAACGAGCTACAAAATAGCAGTCTGGCATTTACAAACAGAAAAAAAGAACATTAGCTGTGTTTTGTGTTGCTGACATATTGACTTGTGCGATAATTATGCACCATAATTAACGCAACAAAGCATTTTTTTCTTTGATGATTCAGCATCATGTCAAGAACGGAAATGTGTGTCATCTAGATTCAGTTTTTTTTTTGCTGAATTCATTAATATTTGATTAACTACTTCCATAGAGATGTTTTCTCTCAAATAAATATATAGGCTATTTAAACTGTTCAAAAATCCTTCATCCTTTTAAACTGTGCAAAGATTATTAGAACTTTTATTTTTCTAATACGAAATTAGTTCTAGTAAGGTTTCTGTGATTGCTGCCACAATAATGATAATAATAATTCAGTACTTTAGAGCAGTGCCAAGAAAAAAAAAT